CCCCCCCCCCCCCCCCCCCCCCCCCCAAAAAAAATCCCCAAAAGTTTCTCACTGGATTTGGGCTGTTCTCATCAAGCGCAGTACAGGCCCCAACTCAGATTCCAAAAAAAATCAGTGGATGGCTGTTTTCTAGCTGGTTGGCAGATTGCCGACCGGTTGGCCCACTGGTCGGCTGCAAACGTCGGTGGTCGCCAGGTATGCAACCCTGATGCCAAGTTAATATGCCCATGTACTGAGAGTCTCAAGTAGAGACGGTTGACACAAAGTTTTGCCATGGTGCGCATTTACTAACCATCACACTGCAAAAGTATGTGATTTCATTCCTTTGACCAAACCCCCGTGCCCATCCATAAGCCAAAGAACATGGGATAAATAACAGAAAAAAAACATTCCCAGCGGGTCACCTATTGTACAAAGATGCACGTGGCCATACTTCGTATGTAGGGCATGCGACTCATTACAATCAAAGGGAAGAGAACACACAGCATGTTCCAAAAAGCACTGTTGACATTTCTTCTTTTTTTTTCTTTTTTTTTCCTTTTTTTTTTTTCTTTTGCACTGTTGACGTTTCTGTGCCACCATCTTATCTGAATGAATGGCACCACAAACGGTTAACAGGTACCCCCACTTTTCACCCCTAAGGTAACCTTCACCACCCTGAAAACTGCAGTGGAGATCATGTTTTTTTGCTTTTTTTTTTGTTTTTTTTTTGCCCTGTTTTGTTTGGTCGAGGTTTGTATGAGCCAAGTCTGGTGTTTGTTGGGTTCCTGGAGATGGTTGTTTTGGGGAGTGGTGAGAATTGTGAAAACCGACAAATTCAAATGTTGGTGAAATTTCATGAAAGTGCACTTTTGGCTTGCTGTTTTATTTGTTTTTAATTATTTTTTTCGGTTTTTTTTTAACAATAAGTTAGTAAGAAGTGCACTCTATAGATTGGTGTGAAATATGGTTAAAATGGCCCTTTGGTTTTCTTATAAATGGGGGTGAAATTTTGAAAGTCAGTTAACCTTCTGTCCTACATAACCCAGGGGAAGATCATGCAACCGAGACCCCCATGCATCAAGGTGCCTTCAGACCAGCAATTGTGGAATTCCACCAGTCATGTGCAAGGAACATGAATATGGACGAAGCACAGAAATCCAGAATGCAAAATCACACTGAAGTCCAAGTAGTCAAAGCCAAAGCAGATAGCACAATGGAACTGAGTAACCATCCAATTGAGAATGATACATAATAATCGTGAGTCAATGTCCATGCCCAACAGGGCAACACCAACAGCATAACCCAAATGTAGCTCTCTCTTGTGAATGGCGCCAGGCGCCCTATCTACTCTACAGCCTATCCTACAACTACAGCAATGAAAGCAACCAGACAACTTGACTACCAGCGAGTGATGATGTCAACACCAATGCCGACCTCCACCTCCACCAGGTACGTGTCCTCTGCCACCCAGACTCTTCCTTGTTACCCACACAGCGCCCTTCACCTCCGAAGAACCACCTTCCCCCTTCACCTCTCCTGCACCCTCATGCGGCCCGGCTATGGCCGCCAGTGCCTTGCATACATGCAGCGCCCTACCGCCTAGCGCTAGCCTGCTTCACCTTAGCGCAGCGCAGCTTTGCACAGCGCAGCACACATGCATTCGCGCAGCGTGCCCGCAATGCCAGCATTGGCCAAGATCCCTGCCCACTCGCCCTGCTTGCCTATATGCCAGAGCAGCGTGTGGGCGGCCTCCCTTCAGCCTGTGACCGAGACCCAGAGGCTGAACCCAGCCCGATACAGTTGGGCCCCGGGGCAATGCAGTTGCGCCTCCTTCATCAAGGCCTACGGCCAGATTCAGATAGTGGGCCGATTTCCCTTTGGCATTTTCGGCCTCTATACCCAGCATGCATTGTCGGCCTCACRTTCGAGTGCCCAGGGCCTAACTAACTCAGAGGCCCTGGGCTTTCAGCATTTGCTGAAATCCGAGACTCGGTGCACTCCAACCAACTGGCGTGCTGCAACTGTAGAGGGCTCTTGTTGATTTGCTGGCCCACCTTCACTTAGGGCGGGCACGAGGCTTGCTGGGGCCTTAGCCCAGAACATGTACATCATGGCAAGGCCCCTACTTGAGGGCTCAATCCTCACACATGTGTCAAATCTATACTCTTTCACCTGAAACGAAAAACAAAGAATGGATGAACATGCTGAGGACGCAGAGAATTGATTGGCCAGTGGGAACATGGTGGTGCGGCCCAGGCACCAAAGACCGTTTTTTCAGAATTGAGGTGACCAGCGAACCAAGGCAGCATCAGTGTGGATCCCGGGCAAGAGGTATCTGATCAGACAACAACACAGAATCTCCCTTCCTGCAGAGGGCGTGTGGGATGAGGTGAAAACATCAGAACACGACCACAAGGGGACTAAGCGCTTCTCACTTATATTGGGAGGTACTCCCTGCAAGCATTGGAAAATAGAGGCACAAAGAGTAGGGTGGATACTCTCAGCGGAATCAGCAGCCTCCACCAGAGTGCTGATCTCCGACTACTCTGCCAAATTTGGTTATGCATTACGCTCCAGGGCATCCACACTGCAGGTGAGTACTTGGAACAGCTGGAGGAGGAAACACATGGTTTCAGAGTGGCCCTCCTTCAGCAATGCTTGGGTAAGTCTGTTCCTCTCACTAATCTTAAGTATCACAGAAGTTAAGATGGCAGGACTGCAATGGCTACACCTACATTCAAGTGTGCCGACAGCGGAATGGTGTGTGAAGAAAGGGATGGCCATCTCCCCAGAGTGGGACGTTTGTCCTCATGAAGCATTAGAGGATTCAAGTCACTTATGGTGGGAATGTGTGATCGCCCGAGGCTTCTGGGATTGGCTAGACTCCTTATGGTGCTTTGCCTATGGCCCAAAAAAGGTATGGACAAAGGAATTCATCATGCTAGGGAGCTGTGAGGCTGAAGGTCAAGCAAAAATAGCGAATAAATTCAGGGTTTTGGGCTTCTGGATTCTGTGGCTGGCACGGAGGGACAGACGCTTCAAAGGCAACTTCTGGTCTCTCTCTGCTATTCGCAACAAATTTAGACTCTCAGTTCGTAATCTTATCTGCGCTGAATGGAGAAAACTGTGTCAAACCAACACTCTTTACACAGCAGCTAA